CCCCACCTAGGGGTGCAGCAGCGATCTGGCTGCTTCCCTCCAATTCAGCAACGTGACACCCCCAACGCAAAATTGATGCAGGAAGTGATGCCAGTAACATCACTGAGGGCATCACAGGCCTCCCCCAACAAAATGGTGGTGTGCCTCAGTTTCCCTTCTTACACAGGACCTTCTGGCTGGAAACCTTTTTGTCCTGTAAGAAGTTTCAAGACCAGTTACAAGTGTTAACCATGAAATAGCAAGATTACAATGTCCCTTTACATACCGTCTGTCGTTTGGTACATCTCCAGACAGATTACATGGTATTTCCATAAGATCATGCACATTGTATACCTTTACATTTCTCTGCAACAATAATACATTGGTTACAAGAATTAACATCAGTAACAAGAACAATCCTCTATCAGGTATATATTGACATTCTCCATCATGCCCCTTCTCTGGCCCCCATACCATTGCAGTTTTGGCCCTTCAGGCTCAAACTGCAAATCTTCTTTGCCAAATCAAGTCCTGACCCTCTCCCTTGTCCTCTGGGCTCCAGGCCTGAAACCTCTGGCCTGACCAAGACAAAGGGCTGGCTGGGTGTGACTCCCTGGCTCACAATGGCCCTGGAATTCTCCCCCTTCCTCCCAAGGCAGTGTTGTGTCCAACTTTGACATGGAGAAAATTTCAAAGGCCTCAACATCAGTATTGTTTGTTAAGCAACAGTGAGTGAGGCTTTCTAACGCTTAGTCTACTCTGGTGACTTTTGTGGGCACAGCTGTGTTACACAGGATGTGAAGAGGTGTGATCCCTTACTGACATAGCTGTGTCAGAAAAACTGCTTTTAATTACATCACTTGTTTCACTTGTGTGGATGGTTTCTTACTACTGCACTATAAAATGCAGCTTCACTGGTATAGCTACAGCCAGATGAACAGTGCTTTGCCACTACAGTTGTAACCAGTATAGCAATACTGGTAAAGAGATCCAAGTGCATGCAGACGTGGTCTAAAGCTTGATCTGCACATAAATTTTACCAACATAGCTGTGTTATTTAGGAGTGTGGTTGAAAAAACCCCATATCTTTTACTGACGCAACTATGCCAGCAAAAACATCAGTGTAGATCATCATACTGGCATAAAGTTCTATATTTTGCAGTGATGTAGGTTATTCCATTTGAGGAATAGATTTAAGCTATGTTGGTTAAAAAAAAAAAAGATTTTGATGATATAAGATGAATCTCTAATATAGGGAATGCCAGTATAGCTACCCCGACAAACCCTTTTAAGTACAGACAAGGACTAAAGCAATTAACTTTGGTTTTCTGGAGACATGCAGAACTTCCCAGGACTAAGTTAACTTTTTACACCCACACAGTAGACAGTGCGGTAGTTAGCAAATAGATGTCCACATAATATTTACAGAAATAATACAGATATTTCCCACTTCTCACAATACGCTTTTTTCACCTTTCTCTTCCCCCTGCAACAGAAACTGCTCTATAGGAAAAGTGATATGAAAATAGTACTGCTAAAATTTAGAATTATCTAAAATATCTATGAAGTACTTTTTTTAAAAGCTAAAAGGCTACATCTACACTGCAGGCTTTTTGTGCAAGAACTATTTTGCACAAAAGGTCTTGAGCAAGAGCATGTCCACACTGCCATGTGCTTTTGCACAAGAGATGTGCTTTTGTTCAAGAGCATCCATGGCAGTGTAGACGCTCGCTTGTACAATAAAGCTCTGATGGCTATTTTAGCTATAGGATTTCTTGTGCAAGAAACCCCTGTTGTCCGTCCACACTGCCTTCTTGCGCAAGAGCTCTTATTCTTCGTGGGGAGAGGAATAACTCTTGCTCAAGAAGCCCTCTGTTTCAACAACGCCTTACTGTAAATTTACTTGTGCAAGAATGCGCGTGCAGTATAGACACTCTTCAAGTTTTTGCACAAGAACGGCTGTTCTGGCACAAGAAGCCTGCAGTGTAGACATAGCCAAAATGTGTGGAGGTAGAGAATATGTGATATTGCTGTATAAAGATTTCATCAGCATTCCTTTGTGATCACCTGCATTACTCAATCAAGACTTCATGATTTCTGAGCAAATGTTCCAAACTCCTGCTTATTAAAATGCAGTATAGTGTGGTCTAAAGGGTTTTTCTCTTTCTTGATACATACATATTTTTAAAATCAGGAAATTATTATTCAAATTATATAAAATGAAAACAAATGAAATTAAACATGAATGATATGTGAAAATATTACTTGAAACATGTATTTTATCATTAACTATTAATATTAACATGTTTTCAAAATGTGCAACCTCTCCATTAGAACTTTTTTTAAAACGTATTTTCCAGAAAGTGTAAGACTGAATTCTAGCTTATAAATTTATACTAAAACTATCCAATAACATTAAAAAAGATTGTATGGGGAGGAAATCTGTCAGTTATTACAAGGTCCTTGAGCTCAGTTCATAACTTGCATTGCTCTTTATCCTTTATGGGTTCTTAGTAGGCTCACAATTTTTTTATTTCAAGAAAACATATTCTTTGGTACTTCCTAGATTCCCATTTCCTCTTTGTCCGTGTGATAGATCTAGAAATTGTATACTCTTCAATACTACAAAAAACGTCATTACCCTTCAGTCTGCTCATTGCCGTATGTTATCTTGAGTTAAACTAGTGTTCTTCAGTATGTGACTCTTTGGTGTTCCACTTTGAGGTCTCTTAGTGTGACTACAAGCCTCTTTCGAAAGAGGTTTTTTCGAAAGAATCTTTGAAAAAGTCGCTTTCGAAAGAGAGCGTCTAGACTGCAACTACTTTTTCAAAAAAGCGAACTGTTTTTTCGAAAGAGAGCACCCACACAGTCTGGATGCTCTCTTTCAAAAAAGCCCTGTTTGCATTCAAGAATGCCTTTTTTCGAAAGAAAGCATCCACTTTCGAAAGAAGGCGTTCTTCCTCGTAAAATGAGGTTTACTGCGGTCGAAAAAACCACCGCATTCTTTCAATTTAATTTCAAAAGAACATGGTGGCAGTCTAGACACAGGAGAAGTTTTTTCGAAAAAAGGCCACTTTTAAAAAAAAAAAAACAAACCCTGTATTCTAGTGTATATTCTCTTGGACCAATATCCAGACAGTAATGGTTCAAATGTATATATTTTATTAAAGTGTTTAGAAAATAAAATTATTATTTCCTCGTCCTTTATAGGAATGATTGAAATTGTGAAAGATGCTACAACAATTGCCAAAATTCAGCAAAGCACAGTTGGCAATACAGGTGCATTTAAAGATGAAATACTAAATCAGTGGCTGAAAGAAAGATGTGTGATTGAAGAAAAGGTGAGTTCTTAGACATTTTGTATTGGATTATTAAAAGCATCTAAGTGGACTAAGAGCCCAAGTCTCATTAAAAGTCCCCAAAGTGTTCTATAATACCCATACTGTATTTTTGTTTGTTTGTTTGTTTGTAAATTGTTTTAAACTGGTTCACAGGTTTCATTAACATAGTTTGTCATTCATTTAAAAATAAATGTTATTGTGCATTGTAGCATAACAAGTACTATGATGTGTGTGGTAGTCATGTAAAAAAGGCAAAAGGAAATCAAACAGTCATAATCCAGAGTAACAATATGCTTTTTAAAATTTCTTTTGTTGATGGTGTTTGGAAGTGATGCATGTCAAACTAATTAAGGCAAGCACTATTAGGAAGACTGTAAAAGGCAGCCTAGTTTAGTGGCTAAGCATAAGAGTAGGAGCTAACTGGCTTTCATATGCATTTCTTGTGGTTTCGTGCAAACCATTAACCTTGTTGCCCATTTTTTTATTTTTTATTTTTGCTGCTGTAAAATTGGGATAACAATCTAAACATAGCTCACAGATCTATTGTGGTACTTAATAAAGGTCTAATTTTACAAGCTGCTGAGTACAGTGTATAATCCCACTTATAATGCTTATATAGAGCTTTGAAAGTGAAGTGTTCTTATAAGCAATAGAATGTTCTTACTATTTGCTTGCTATTAATTAGTTTCAGAAAGCAGTGGAAAGATTTGTTTATTCTTGTGCTGGTTACTGTGTGGCAACGTTTGTACTTGGAATAGGAGACAGACACAATGACAACATTATGATTACAGAAACAGGTGAGTTTTTTTAATGTCTGACATACTTAAAATAGGGACTTGGTACGTTTTATTAAATATGTGCTTTAACAGATATTTAATTGATATTTATATCTTACTCGTTATTTATTTATTTATTTATGTATTTATTATATCCTGGTACCTTTTATTTATTAACATTAGTGATTAAACTGCTTCACAGATATGTTAGACTGTACCGATTAGAAGTTAGGGTGGAAAAGTTTAATCATGCAACATCAATAAAAATGTTACCAAACCTATTTCACTGTATGGATTCTGACCTTTATTTCAGATGTTTTTCCAGTGTATTTTTTTAAATGGATGTAAAATCTGAAGACCAAAAAAATAAAACAGAATCACTAACTTTAGCACCCAAATTCTACCGTTAGTTACATGGATGAAATTATGGTTGGCCTTGGTGGGAATTGAATCTGTGTATCTGAGGGCAGAAATGGGCTGTTAATGAAATAGCTTGGTTTCCAATGAACAAAAGCTTTATATACTTATTAAAAAGATCCTTAGAATTAATAAATACAGAATATAGTGCATCTTTGTTGTAAATTTCTATATGATGGTTAAAAAAAGAACTACCTAAGGCATTGCATTATGAATTAAACTTTAAAGGAGTAATTTTTGTGCAACCATACTGGTTTTATCTCTTTTGTATTCTGGAGGGGAGGCACGTTTCCATAAGAATATGTAGTGATATGGATTTAAAGCACAAGTTTTCATGATACAACTTGTTTTTTATCAAATAACTTTTGATGTGTATGTTATAAGATCCTAATGGTAACAATGCAACAAAGAGAAATGGATTTAGATACAGCAAATCCATGCTTATTATGAGATGCAAAAGATAATTTTGAACAGAAAATATTTTGTTGAGAGGAATGATGCTGAATAAAAGGAGAATACATAGTCTGTTCTTGTAAACTAGAGTTATACAGTAAACTAATATAAGATAAACCAAAGAAAAAGTTGTTATCCTTAGTATTAGAAGTGCCAGTGGAAATATTTCTCTGCTCCTCATTTTTTAGCCTAATCTTGAATTCTCTTCCTTATAAAGGAAATCTTTTTCATATTGACTTTGGCCATATTCTGGGGAATTACAAAAGCTTCCTCGGAATTAATAAGGAAAGAGTCCCTTTTGTGTTAACACCGGATTTTCTTTTTGTCATGGGAACTGCTGGAAAGAAGACAAGTCTGCATTTCCATAAATTTCAGGTAAGAGTCAGTCTTCTGATGTAAATAAGCTAGTGTTTTATCTTTTGAGAGAGGATGTGGACTTTCCCCTGCTGACCTCGGGCTCCATGCGGCGCTGCCACTTTCAAACACCATCTGGAGCCCAGGGTCTGGCCCCAAGCTCCACACGTCATTGCCAATTTAAAGTACTCCCTCCTCTTCCCCCATCCCCCGCTGCCTCTTTCTAATAGAGGCAGTAAGGGGGAGGGGGAAAGCGACTAGTCAACTAGCATTTGCTTATCGGATAGTCAACTAGTACTTCACATCCCTAGTTGAGTCTTCTTTTGGCAGGGGGGTTGGATTCAATGACTTCCTAACGAGGTCTCTTCCAGCCCTATGATTCTAAGTGAGAAACAAAAAACCCCCAAAGCAAACACTCACTGAGATGGCCCCCAAATGAGGAGAAAGACACCCTCTGCATTCTCCTCACACAGCAGAGTCTTGGGGCGCCCAGGCTAATAGATTTTGTGTGCTCCAGCCCACAATGGGCTGGAGCACCATTGCGGGTTCCCCAATACTGGGGGGAGCTCTGAGTCTTGGGGGCCAGATCTAGGCAAGCCAGGGGCTACATCTGGCCCCCGTGCCTGAGGTTCCACACCCCTGCTCTAAGTCATACGACCATTGTAGTATTTAAGGTGGTCAGTCTAATTTCCACTACTGCTAATAAGCAGATAAAAAGTAATACATCAGTTCATGTTCTCTTGAACTACAATCCTGATAGTATAAATGGGTTAATTATCTTTTCAAAATGTACAAGAGTGGGAGTTTGCAGAGAAAAGTTTCTATAATAACAAAAAAATGTAACTACATATGCATGCAGTTCTGCAGTATCACAGTACTGTCTCTAAATTTCTGTTCTGTCAGTTCTTTTAAATGGCTTTTTGCCTTTTAAAACAATTACAAAGCCAGTTAAAATAAGATGACAATGTCATATAAGATATCTTTCTATACTAAAGGGCTGTGTCTAGACTGCATCTCTTTTCCGTAAAAGGGATGCAAATTAGACATCGAAATTGCAAATGAAGCGGGGATTTAAACCCCCCCCCC